AGCAGGCACAAGAAGTTGGATAAACACGTACATATATCTCACCGCCCCCGCTGACATCATATGTATGGGGCCTGCACAGTGGCGGATCTCACCTGGTAGTCTGCAGGATAGTTTTTAATAGGGAAATGCCCTTCACTTTTATCTTCATTGTGCTTCCTTCTCCCCGATTGGTAATATATCTTTAAAGACAGAAAGTACCTCTTAAAAAATATCTCAATCCTTTCAGCCTCGATCCCATAGGCTGCTGAGGCGTGCTTGTTCCTTCGTTAGCGTTCCCTTTATTGCTTACGACCGAGGCATTTGGTGGGATTCAACATTGCGCGGGAAGATCGCACCCAGTGTGCGGGTCGATGTCTAATCACTCCCTTTTTGAAATGCCGGGCGCCTCGCACCCTTTTGTAAGTTTGAATCCGCCGATGTACCATATTTACAGTGGACAAAATCCGCAGAGAGGTTGTAGGCCGAAGTCACGTTGTTGAGTTTTAGAGCCCGCTGTGCTGGGGAGAGTTAGGCCTTAGGTTTTAAATTGTTTACAACTTTGACCATGCACCATTTGGTAGATGGGCTGCCAAAGTCAAAGTTTGCCAAAGGTTTATACCCTCTTCTCCTAAAAATGCACATTTTCTTTACTCGGTGTTCACGTTAAAACCACTTCGCGCTGGGTTTAGTTGTCGATGTTGATGATGCTGGGCCAGAATATTATTATTTTTTCTGTTTTCAAAATTCTTCAAAACTCATCATTCCATTTAACGGACGTTTAGGGCCTATACCCACATGAAGTAACTCAAAGTTGACAGGTGACCTTCATTGACGCCCGAGTGGTTCAGCCAAGCCTGCAACCTTGTAAAAAGAGCCCAGATTGTGCGGTGTTATATAACTTTCTTTTGTTCACGAACCTGGTTCAGTGCACTGCTGACTCTTTTCAATAGGGGCAGGTTAGCGTGCAGCGGTGCTGTGTGGCTTATCGCTGAGGTGGTGGAGCGCTTTTGTCCCCGGTGGTAATCGGCTCGCTCTAAACGCCCAAAGCCGTGGTATACTGTTTCAAAACAAGACTGGATTGTCTCCGCTTTCGAGAGTAAAAAATGTCGGTAATGCCCAGCAGCCTGGTCTTTTGTTCAGAGTATGGTCTTTTGTTACAGGGCCCTGTTCCCTTTGTCCGAGTTCGGAGACCCCGGCCACGAATATAGGGCCTATGGCTCCGCTACCTGAGCCCCCGGCGGCAAGTGGTCTATGTGAGGCATAATTATTTACATATAATAGATAACTGTTAACACAAACTCAAAACACATTATTACTCTTTGATTGCGGCTATAGAATCCATACTTTGAACTGCAATTTATAAGAACTTACACATTGCATGAGAAACACGTTTCGTAGGCCTATATGAATCCTTCACAATCAGTGTGCAGTTCCTTTTTTCAGCTGTGAAAGTTTTTTCAAAATTTTAGATAGCGTCGACGTTTTCACAACTTAGACACTGTTTATGGGGCTTTCATTCCTAACGATTTTGAGGTGTCAAACCTCGACAAATCTTTGGTAATTTTAAGTAGAGATACATTGCAAACCTTAATATAAGCGTGGTAGGACGCCAGCCTACTCTGCAGAATTTGCCCCCAAAATGTTAAGCTGTTTAGGGCTCTGTTTCTTTTACTCTGATCATTAAAATATCTTGAAAATTAGCCAGGCAAGAAACCGTGTATACTTTTTATTTGGTAAATTTTTGCATAGGTTCGGGCCTGGAAAAACTGGATCACTGAATGCAAAGCAGAGTTCATGTCCATTTTTGTGTTTATTTTTTTTCTCGAATGCTTTTTTTACATTTGTTTTTTTCAGGGGTTCAAAAACGTACTTTCCCTATTTATGAAGGAGGGTGACAATGCCCCACCGATCATTGTAAAATTCGAAGGGGGTGCTTGATGATTCTGTGTTTCTCAAGGGGGGCTGATTCGTTTTTCCTTGCCTGGATAAGAGGTTGTAGTGCACTGTCCGGATACACAAATCTGTGTTGATTCCAGTATAGCATGACGTCGCATACTGGTATCCGGCCCGACAGCCACACTCGTCCCGTACCCACTAGGGAAATCCCAAACTTATCCCAGGCATATGATGTTGAGAAATATAGATCAACCTATGATCGAAAAAAAAAACTTGTTACCTAATATTTTGAAGACAAAATTGTGGTAGGTGTATAAGCGGTAAAAATATGCCTATTAATGGACTAGGATCCAACAACAGGCTTAAGTTTGAGTTCTTGTTTGCTTGTCGTCGCCCAGCGCCGCCCTGTTGGGGCGCTTGGGGATGAGCGAAGCGTTCTATAGGGGGTTCATTCCATCAAATGGTTGTATTTCTGCGTGCAAGCTCTCTAATATTTTGTGATCCCACGGGGTTTTTACAATAAGATACGCCATAATCAGGAGGCATCATACAAATATTTCTATAAATCCCGAATTTGGGACTGATAGTTTCCAGTTCGGAGTATTTCTTTCACAAAAATCCCCAAATTGCGGGCCTATTTTGGATAGAGGCGGGCGGCTATACATTCAGAAATGAGCGCTTAGTTTTACTGCTGTTTTGGGGGTATTTTCCTTGAAAGGCGAATTAAAAAAGAAAATTCGTGGCTAACGCCCATGAAATTGAAACGAAAAGTGATCTTCTGGCCGAGAGTCAACGGGCGGCGCCATCTCGGCCCGATTTTGCACTGTTTTCTGTGGTGTAGTGCAACCACAAGTGCAACCATAGTTGGCCAATAAAATGCGCCCTCCATTGTTCAATTTTCGTAAAATGCACACGTGTGTGTAACTTGTTACCCCTTCGTGCTTTCCCTGCTGTAGGCTTGAACTTAAGTTACATGTAGGTTAATGTACATGTATTTATAACACATGTCGTGTAATTTTAGGTGATTTGCCTATTTTTTCATCAAGCAGAATTTTAAAGTGTAGGCCTAGTTAGCAGTTGTTTTGCTGTTTTCATGAGGCCTAACGTTAGTTACCGCCGTACTGCGGCCTAGCCACAGTCAGTAGTAAGTAGCAAGATATCTATCCAGTTTTGAATTATGCCTGGCTCAATCTGTCATTTCCAGATTTATTTCAGTTTATAACCGGTGATAAATTTGATAGAAATGTAAAAAATCCGTGAACACGGTATGCCAAGAACATCTAACACAATAAAGTGGAACTTTCTTCCCTGTAGAGCATATAAAGCATGTAAAGATTTCCTGATAACATTCTTGAATTGAACAGAGCGAACGTTGTGCCATATGCATAAAGCCATAATACTTAACACGGCTGGATAGTTACTTTCAATGATTGTTCTGTTCTGAACAGATTTAGTAGCAGTATTAAAGCAACTCTGTCCAACAACACAAGCATACTTCCAAGCACACAAATAGCTGGAGTGTGCATGACCAGGGTTGACGAGAGTATGCTCTGAGTGATTGCAGGGATATCGGTTATTCCACAAATTAGGGGTCTGAAAGTGTGACTGTGACATTTTTGTGTCCCAGTTACATCTGACCTTTGTTATATAACAAGGAAATATCACCGGCATTGATTTCTAACTATTAGTATTTGGTTGGCAGGTAATTTGCATTAATTCATCACTCTTGGAAATTAGAAAATGTGTTCTGAACTTACAAAATCATGTCAGATGTGATTGGACTAAAAAAAAAATGGTTTCCTAATTTCTAGAATTACCAGTGTACATGTATTGCTACACTTGATCTGAGAGAAATACAAATGCACTATTTTCCTGCACTCGAGTCAACACAAGTAGCATGTGTGAACGCACTCTTTAGGTGCAAGATACGTATCAGTCAGTTTAATGTTCCATAACTGAATTACCAATAGTGTCTCCTTACAAAGTGTCATGCCTACAGGTTTCCCACCAAGCTCTATTTACATTTTGGTAGTAACCCAAACCATTCACATCCAGGTTCACCAAAAGAATGTGATGTTGTTAGGCAAGCTCAATTGTGTAATAGTCATTGTCAACTGTACGCAATGAATCTCAACATCAATAGGGAACCCTGCATTCCTATTCATACATAAATTTCTCAATGTAATGAGCTTTTTCAGCTAGAGGTACTCAACCGAACAGGAGAGGGGTATTGCTGCCAATGTAAAAGATAATCATAATATTAAGTCATGACTTACAATGCACTTGCTCAAAAAGTGATTGACAATCTCGTTTATTCTGTTTTGTTGATGTGACTTCTATACATATGTATTGTTCAAATCTTGCAGAGTTAGCTTTCTCATTGAAATCTCATTTAATTGAGTTCCTGCCTGGTCTTTTCTCAACTTATGGATGAATTTGCAAATTGTCTCAGACGAAGTACATTAAAACCCTACACTCTACAGTAAGCTAGCAGCCATATGCTGATACATGAATAGACTGGCCTACCTGTAGATTTAAGCAAGATAGCTAAGTTGTTTCAACAAGATGGCTAATTAAAGTCATTGGAATGAGATTGTTGGCAAGTCTTTTAAATGAGATCAGACATCCATTAATATGAGATACTAATTCACATATGAGATAACAAGTTGTTTGAACTAGATAATGTGATTTAATCAAGGAGGCAAGTCATTTAGTTAGGTACCTCATTGAGACAACTTAAAAGTAATTTTTATGATGATAGCAATATACTTCCGTAAATTAAATCGTGCAAAGCATTTACAGTTAATCAGATCATGATGGGGAGGGGCTTGCTTAGTTTTGGGTCAGGGGAAGAGCCTACAGACACTGGTGTTGAAATTCTGAATATTTCCAAAATAGATTCCATCGCTCAATTCAAATTCTCCGTAATTTCATTGTTTAATTTTTTTATGTGCTGAGTATGAATAAATGGAGAGCTGTTTGGCTAACATTTCACATTCTAGTATGCCCTTTCTAGTTCATCAGTAACCCACCTAGGACTGTGTCTATTGTGTTTGTCCTTCCAGCTTCTCACAAATCTTATTTTGTTCACATGGATATCATAATTCATGACAATCAATTCCCAGGGGATGTCCGTTTGGCTGATGGAATCTATCCTTATCAAGGGCGCGTGGAGATTTTCTACAACGGGCAATGGGGAACTGTCTGTGATGATGGGTGGGGCATTGAAGAGGCCACCGTGGTCTGCCGGCAACTTGGGTACTCAGCCACTGTGAGGGCCGCTGCTGCATCCGAATTCTCCATTGGAGATGGGCCAATCCATCTGGACGACTTGTTGTGCACTGGAGATGAGCTAAGGCTTTCAGACTGTCCACACCGAGGATGGGCAAGCCATAATTGTGGACACTCAGAAGATGCAGCTGCTGTATGCTCAACACAGGGCTCTGATTCCTCTTTGTCTGGTCAGTGCTTTAACCCCATTGGTTTCTGTAAAATAATCCATGCTTTCAAAGCGCCAACTCCCCACCTACTAGTATCACTAGCTGTTCAGGTTCCCTTACTTGCTCTGATATTTTTGGCGATCACCAGATTTTGCCAAAATGCTTGTGTCAGCGTTTCTCATGGAACAATCTGTCCTGTCGCCTCGGAAACGGAGACATTTCAGATGCTTGTGATAGCAGACGACTTCTTTTTGCCAGTTCTGAGCCTGTGTGGTTCTCAGCATGCATTTGACTGGAAAAGGACATGTATGGCTTCTACATGTTCCTGCCATCAGTGTCTCAAAGCCTGATTCAGACAGTCTTTCGGTATTCAAAAGTTTTCTCAAGAAGCAGTTCCCCCCCAGATCTTTACATCAATTTGTCCCACTTTCTTCTCATTTCTTTTTCAATGCACCTTGAATCCCTCATCAGTTGGCGCTGTGAAACTGTGGATGTGATACAAATAATGAATATGTGTACCGTCAGTGCAGTGGTAAAAGAATTTCATGAGGTGCGTTCACTGAGAGGGAGCAAACATTTCATCTGTCACCAAATGAAATTATTTTTACCATTCCAAAAAATGTATTATTTGTTCTATTACATGTACCTGTATAAAATATCTTCTGTCAGGAGAACAAACAGGTCCCGCTGTGCTTGCATGTTAACATCCATCACTTTGCATAACATATTCATGTCCAAAGTGCAAGCCACCAGTAATACAATTAATTCCTCTTTCTTAATGGGAATAAGATATATGCAGGGGGGGTGGCGGAAACAGTCAAGTGACATTCTATGCAGAGATTACTGTTGAGTAGAATGAATAATTAAATAACACATGATCATTGATCCACAAATCAAATGAAGGAGATTATGCAGGTATTGTGTAATATTATATTTTTCTACATAATTATATGGTTGATGATTGGCCACTCTCAAAACTCTGCTGGTCAGACTTTCTTTGATTATCTGTCGAGTTTGTTCCTCTCCAGTTGGCAGTGTTCGATTGATGGATGGTAGTTCATCGTCTGAGGGGCGTGTTGAGGTCTACTATCAAGGTGACTGGGGGACTGTCTGTGATGACTTGTTTGATATCCAAGATGCTACTGTCATCTGTCGTCAGTTGGGCTTCCCAGGTGCAGTAAGAGCTGTGTCAGCTGCTGCTGAATTCTCTGTTGGTGATGGGCCCATTTTACTTGATAATCTGGAATGCACAGGACGTGAAAGTA